GCTGGCCGCCCGGGAGAGCGCGAGCAACTCGTCAGAGCCAGTCGGCCTCCTCATCGGACACGCGCCCTGGCAATCGCCTTCCTCACCTGTTGCTCAACTACATATCATTCGCCGCCCAGGCGGCCCCAGGGAGACCATGGACGGCCCCGAGGCGCCTCAAGACTCCCGCGCGCCGATTCGACGCGGCAAGTCGGCCCCATCATGGGGGTCCAAGCATTCAGCGGGAACACCCAATGAGACCCCGATGAGGCCCCGAGGAAACGCACGAACCTAAGTTTCAGCGAAGCGTAGAAAGCCTCCAAGAGGGTTCCAAGACTCGCCCCTGGAAGCTCCAAGCAAGCCCCTGGGCGTCCCCCCAAACGCACGCAACGGGAATCCATGGGCAGGAAGAGACCTGAAGGAACAGGCGGGAAGAGAGGGGCGCGCGCGACACCGCGGACAAGGACAGGATGTTGATACCCGCGCCTGTTTAGACAGGGCGCGGACTGGAGCAGGCGCGAGACTCAACCTCATTACTGCTGTCTTGCTGCGCTCGGTGGTCGGCGGGGATGCCGCAGGCATCTGTATAACAGTGATCACAGCGATTGCATGATCACGCGGGCCGTCGGCAAACGAGCAACACCGATGAGCCTGCTGCAGACAGCAATCGAGGGGCGAGCTCGGAGTGGGAGGATGCGGAGGGAGAGGTGGGAGGATGAGGAGGAGGGGAGAGGAGGAGGAGGGGGAAGGAGGAAGGAGGAGGTAGAGGAGCAGGGTGATGGAGCAGATTTGCGTTCCCGCAAGACAGCTTGGGGACATGCCACGGAGCCAGGGGCCACGGGAAACGCGTCCAGTCCCAACCAGACCCGAAGGACGGGCCCACGAGCCACGGGCCACGGGCCACGCGCCACGGGCCACGGGCCACGGGCCGATCGGGCCGGCGCCCTAGCACCGAGGGGCAGGCGTCGGGCGACGATTGGTCCACGGGCCACACGCCAGTCATACCGGAAGAAACCCGAACGGCACCGACCCCCCGACCCATTCCAGAGCACCATAATTCTAAAGCTCCTTGGGAGCCAAAAAATATTGTGCACGCCCGAAAAAAAATGGGCGCGCAGCACGCCCAACGACCTCGTCCACCGACACAAAAATATTGTCCATGCCAGAAAAAAAATGTGCATGGCCATTATTTTTTGTGCTTCGCCCGAAAAAAAATGTGCAATTCCGACACGTGCGCACGCCGAAAAACATGTGCTGTTTTTCGTGCGTGGCCAATGTGTCGGGGCCCGAGGTGGGGGCCGAAAGAGTATGTATAATATTGGGCGTGCCCGAAAAATGGCAAGGGAACTCTCCCCGGGCATTGGGCCCGTCCGATATCCGGGCGGGCGCGCGCCCTGCCCGGCGCGGGGGCCAATGGACGCACCCAGCGCGCGGCGACGGAAACCATGAAACAGCCTTAATGGCAATCACTCCAGGCAAGAGGAGGGCCCTGGCGCCCCTCCGAGCTGCCCAACGGGCATCTTGCCGACGCCCCCCATAGGACGCGCCCCATGGGACACCCCCGTGGGGCGGCCCCCACACGTGCAACCATAGGACGCCTCCTCCATACGACGCCCGCACAGGACGCCCCCATAGGAAGCCCCCATGGGCCGCTCCACATGGAACGCCCTCCATGGGTGGGCCCCCATAGGACGCACCCCAAAGGGCGCCGCCCTTAGGACGCCCCCCTGGGACGCACCCCATAGCCAACAGGAGGCGAACATACGGCGCACCCCGTGGGGCGCCCCTCATAGGACGTACCCCATTGGACGCACCCCATAGACGCACCCTCATAGGACGCCTCCCATAGGACGTCCCCACAGGACGCCCACAGAGGACACCCCCATAGATCGCCCGCCATGGGACGCCCCCAGAGGACGCCCCCCCCCATACGACGCCCACATAGGACGCCCCCATAGGACGCCACCATAGGACGCCCCACATGGAACGCCCACATGGGACGCTCCCCAAAGGACGCCCCCCATAGGACGGCCCCCAGAGGACGTCCCCACAGGACGCCCCCCATAGGACGCCCCCCATGCGACGCCCGCATAGGACGCCCCCAATGGACGCCCTCCGTAGGACGCCCCCAATAGGACGCCCGCCATAGGACGCCCGCCATAGGACGCCCGCCATAGGACGCCCGCCATAGGACGCCCAATAGGACGCCCGCCAAACGCAGATTTGCGTTCCCCCATCACCCCCCTGGGGGGGGTGATGGGGGAACGCAAATCTGCGTTTGGGGTCTTTTCGGAAAAGTAATGAAGGGGGCGGCGACGCCATGGAAAGGAAGGACGAGGGACGAAATGCGAAAGGCAAGGAAGGAGTACGGAAATTAAGAGCAAGCGAGGGGGAGAGGAAGGAAGAAGGGTAGAGAGGCGGGAGAAACAACGCAGGAGGCGCGATATGATGAAGGAAGGCGTCTGTGCGAGCTCCCACGGAAGGACGCGCCAATGCAAATGGTTCGAGGGCAACAAACGCAATAGCAATCCAAACATGGAGAGCTGCATACGCCCCGGAAGCATCCGAAAATACCGAACCACGATGAACCCGTGAAGCACCCTATCTTGGTATTCATGATGGGGGCCCTATGGCCCCACTCGATCAACGACGCGAGCACGCCCGCGGAAACCTAGCGCGAGGTGCCCTCGTAGCAGCACCCGCGCGCACCCTGATCACCACGACTTCAAACAAAACATCTGGCCGAACTCACATTACTTTCTTCGCCCAATCATCTGTCCATTTTTTGGCCATGTTTGGGGCGACAACGATACCGGCGCGAACCCATTATTGGGCCAAGATTTCTGGTTTCTCGGTTCCAATCCACTCCCCCCGTTCCCCCCTACCTCAGTATTACTATTTGGTGCAAACGGGGTCCCTGTACCTAAGAGCCAAGCTCAAACCCATACTCCAGGAGCAACAGGGGTTGAGCGTCAACGCTGACCACTTGATGCACACTGGCCTCACGTACGACGCAAGCTCAAACCCATACTCCAGGAGCAACAGGGGTTGAGCCTGCACGTTTACTACTCGGTGCAAACGGAGCTATTTACCTAAGAGCCAAGCTCAAATCCATACTCCAGGAGCAACAGGGGTTGAGCCTGTCCCTCTTGGCCCGTCTTGGTGGCATCTTGGGCCGTCTGGAGGCCGTCTCAGATGGTGCACGCGGTGCTTCCCTAGTAGTCAAGCTCAAACCCATACTCCAGGAGCAACAGGGGTTGAGCCTGAACCCTTACTACTTATGCACGCGGGCCTTACCTACGAAGCAAGCTCAAACCCATACTTCAGGAGCAACAGGGGTTGAGCCTGCACGTTTATTACTTTGTGCGAACAACACATGTTTCTAAAACACTACGTCACATCTAATATTACACGCTCGGATGGGCAAACATAACCATAAGAATCATATATGTCATAACATGCAGTAGTATGATATTGTGTGCATGTTATGGGCCAGCCCACTGACAGTGTCACAAAGGGCATCAGTCCACACAATCACAATTGGAACATTCTGTCCGGAAACTTCGAAATGCAAGTCCATAAACAAATACATCAGGATTCACAGCCGACTGTACACTGTAGCACTCATCAAAGAATATGTTCAGGCTCCTCTGGCTCGCCTGGATTGCACGCCCGCGCGGAAGCAAAACTTTACAGGCGACGCCACCGACAAACTCCTCCTCCTCCTCCTCCTCCTCCTCCTCCTCCTCCTCAGGCCGCAGGGGCCGCTCCCGGGCCCCCGGGGAAAAACAGCCTGCCACGGGGCCTCGCAGCCGCCCGGCGGGCGATGAACTCTCGAGTCGGCCTCACAGGCGTCGGAAACAATTATCGAACACTCGTGCATCGGCTCAAAATCGGTCCCCGGACCCCTCCCGGGGTCCACCCGACGCAATTTCTCACCCGGGGTCCGTTTTTCGGGGCGCCCGAAGGGTAGGTTTAGGGTGGCAGGCCTACCCCAAGCCAACCACCCTAAGCTTTCGAATCAATATTTTTCGAATGGCTTTGGAAAGTTAGTTTGGCAAACTCGCCTTTTTGTCACTTCGACGCTTCTGGGCGGCCCAAGATGCCCCGAGATCGCCCCACGTCGGCCCAAAAGACGCCCAAGAGGCCAGAAGAGGCTCCCCAGAGCCCCAAACGAAGCCCCAGTAGGCCCCAAAAGGGCCACCAAGAGGCTGCGAAACTTGCTACAAGAAGCCCCCGAATGGCCCACCACGGGATCCCCGCGCACACTCAGGACGCCTCCGGCCGACCACCCAGGCACGGCGGCGGGATGACCCGACGGCCAGTAGTTAACTTCCGCGATCGTCGCACGCTCTCATTCCTTTTGGGGGTCGGCGGAATAGCGTCAGCCACTCGAAGACTCCCCGTGCTGATGCCCGTAGTTGCGCGCTGGGTTCCCCGCTATTCTGGGGCGGCGCGCGGACCGCCCAGAGCGCGAGCCCTCCGTAAAGTTTTACTTCCGGCCTGGCGCGTTTCTGCGAGGAGCGCGCGGACCACCAAGAGCGCGGGCCCTCCGTAAAGTTTTACTTCCGCCCTGGCGCGTTTCTGCGAGGGGGGGAGGGGGAGGAAGAGGAGGAGGAGAGGCGGCGGGGAGGACAGGATGTTGGGATGGGGGTGGAGTGGGATGCTGGGGGGCAGAAAGGGAAGACAGGGGGCAGGTGATGAGATGCCCTCCCCCTCTGGGACGCAGGGCTCGCCACCCACGGCGCTTGCTCTTTGCGCCGAGCGGCAGCAGCGCGAAACCCGATGCTGATCATCCTGGAACCGCTGCGGAAGGCAAGTGCACCGGCCTATCTTTTGAAAATCGGCAACATTGCTACGCATATCACTGCGACTGCCGCCACGCTCCACTGCTCGCAGTGACCCTTTCAGGTGGCGATCATATCACTGCGACTGCCGCCACGCTCCACTGCTCGCAGTGACCCTTTCAGGTGGCGATCCCCATCCCCGCTCCAGCGGCAAGCAATGCGCGTGCCCCTGTTCTATTTACCTGGGGGGATGTCCCAGGGGCTCTCCTCACCGGTGGTCTCTTTGTGGACATCCCAAGCCCACCGCAAACAAGTCAGCATGCATGTGCGGTACGTCTGCCCCTCGTCATCTACGCCGAAAGTCGCGGTATGGCTCCTGGGCGTCTTCCGCCGCATCGGATACTTGATCTGCCACGCTCGCTTCGTGTGCAAGCCCATCCAAATTCCCTTGGATTTTGGGAGGTACGCCCTCACCTCCTCCGGTTCTATGGCCCCCTCCGGGATGCGATTGCCAGCAGGCTGGGCCTCGGCGGCAGCGCCGCCCGAGGGGTGCGCGGCGGCAGCGCCGCCCGAGGGCTTGCTCTCAGAGCTCGCGCTGCCCGCGTCTGCGGCTGTCGACGTCTCGTTCTTCTTTGCCCTCTTCGCCGACTCTTTCGCTTCCTCCTTGACGAGGGCCGCGTCCTCCTCGGCGAGGAGGCCTACCACGGCGTCGGCGTTCTCCTCGCATAACACAGAATCCCGCACATTCTTCTTGAACGTACGATGCGCCAAGCAGCTCTGGACCTCCTCCTCGCTCGCTTCTGGCAACTGCCACTTGATCAGTAACGTCGCCACGTCTCGCTCTGTGGTGGGTCGCCTGCCCGTGAAAGGCACCTGGTACATGTCCACGATCATCTGCATCCGCGGCGTTGTGATGCCAGCGAAGCCACGGCGAGCACTCGCGAGCAGCAGAGGCACCGCGTACGCCCCGGGCTCCTTGATCAACACGATCCCCAGGCAGAAGCGCGGCACGTCGTCACCGAACTGGAAACGCTGCTTGGCGATGTGGGGCGGCATCACAGTCACCGGCAAGCTGTGCCAGCTCGCGACATCCTGGATGACCTCATGCGTCCACGCCTGGGGCGGGGGAAGCCACTGAGGCACTCAAGATGGCCCAATATGCGTCCAAGACGGCCCCGCATTGCCCCCCCAAGATGGCCCAATATGCGCCCAAGATGGCCCAGTATGCGTCCAAGATGGCCCAAGATGCGTCCAAGGTGGCCCCAAGACGGCCCCCAGGATGACACTGCAAACAAAGGCGGGCATGCACTGCTGGTACCGATGTCGGGGGCTGGGCAGTTCGGCACCCTGAAACCTGCTCGGCCCCAGGCGGCTTCAGGTGGAGAAACAAAACGCCCTTGACTTTCTGCCCCTTCAAACGCCAGCCGATCACTCCGAAGTCGGAGACCCCGAGAACGAAGACACCTTTCGACTTCGGCTCCCCCTCCCCCGACTTGCGCACCAAGACCTGGCCAGGGACAACCAAGCGAGATATCCAGGCCTTCTCCAGCGCCCCCCAGTTCGGGGCAACCAAGCGGAGACACTCTACTGCCATCGACTTCTGCATGAATCTTTCCGCGGACGTTGTTGACGGAAACTTACCATTCACGAAGTCGGTCAGTAGTTGCCCGCCCAAGCTGAAGTCACCCACCTGGAGGGACCGGGAGTCGAACGCGCTCGAGGGCACTTTGCCATCATGGAGGGTCGATCCGACTATCTCGTCGGCAACGGCGGGGTCAATGACAGGCAAGTCGTTGTCCCTGAGGATGGGGGACACCAAGGAGCGCTGCCAGATGGCTGGCCCGCCCAGCTTGCCCGAGGAGGACAGCCGCCCGTGCTTCCTGCTCACGTTGAAGAGGTCCTCGTTCGCTTTGGTGCCCGCCAGACCGTGTGCGTAGTCGTCCACCTCTTTCCACGTGTCCGCCGGCAGCGTCGTCCACGACGTCTCCCCCAGGGAGATCAGCACCTCGCGAACCCAAGTGTGCTGCGGCCAGACCAAGCTGTGCAGGAACGTACGCAGCCACGAAATGCCTTGCGCGGCCTTCTCTGCCTGCTCCAAAGCCACCCACACTTGCCGACACCACTCTGCCATGGCGGCGCGCCTGGCGCTGTCGGGGTCGACCAGAGCCACCAAGCAATTCGGGAAGTCACGGGCGTAGGAAAGGGAGAATATGACTTCGTTGAACAACAGCTCCCGGACGTAGTCCACCAACGCCACGACCACTCGGTTGGCGACCTCGTCCGCATATCGGAGGGCCGGGACATTCTGCAAAGTCAAACCGACCCTGCTGCACAGCCTGGCCGAAGACACGAGCTCGACCGTGTTCGCCAAGTGGCGCATGGAAGTGCCCGATGCCATGTCGCAGCGCCACTGTTTGGTGCCCCTGCGCGTCTTCATGATCGTTACTGTCTTGCCGTGCTCCTCGCAAATCTCCTCCACCAGCATTGTGACGCCTGTCATCAAAGCCCTGACCTCGTCCATGGCTAGTATGGTCGTCGCCATGTGAAAGCCACCAGCACATTCCGACCGGAGCTTGCTGATGGCCTCGTTGGAGTGCTTCACGGACCTCGCCGGCGGGGCAGGCGCCGACGAGGAAGACGCCGCCATTGATACGGCCGGCGATGGGGCTCCGACGCCGTCTGCGGCACTCTCGCCATGCGCGCAGAACGGGGCCCAGTCGACGTGCGTGTACAAGCCTCGCTGCAAGCAGATGTAGGAGCACACCGCGAGGAGGCAACCCCAGTAGGGCTCAAAGGCATCATGTCGCTTCGTCAGTTGGAACCACCTGTTCAGCTTCATGCTCGCACCTCTCCTCCAAAATACCAGCTGCTCTGGCAAAGCGTCCCACGTGCTCTTGATGTGCTCGTCGCTGCCGAACTCCGCGGGCAAGACGCCCTGGTTGAGGTCCCGCACGATCCGGGGGTACAGGTGTACGAACAGCAGATCGCGGTGGTCAGAGCTCGCATGCCACTCCTGCGCGGCCTCCTCCACCTTGCGAAAGTTCCCGTCCATGTGCCACGGGCCAAGCAAGAAAGTCTGCACCAAGCCCGCCTCAAGTTTCAACAGGGTAAGCCCGGCCGCCGACAGGCTGTTCAAGGTGTTGCCCCATCTCCGGTGCGACGGGTCGTTGCCGAAAGTGCCCCGTACGTTGCCGTGCCCGTAGGCGATGTGCTTCCCCACCCACCCCACGCTGCCCATGTCGAGCCAAGAGTGTAAGATGCACCGAGGCTCGCTCCAGACGCACTCCAAGCGAGTTGATCCGTCGGCCGCGCGGACCGCCGCCCTTCGGGTGCGACCCGCAGCCGCGGCCTGAAGATCCTCGGGGAGGGTCGCGAGATCAACCCAGAACCTCGCCTCACCAGGACCCAGGGGGAGGCAGGGCCGAGCTGCCCGGAACTTGGCTAGTCCGCGGCCCACGCCTGCGAGTAACGCATGGTCCCACGCCTGGAGGTCGTGCTGGTTCGCCAAGTTCGGGTCCCCGAGGCTCTTGCGGGTCGACGGTCTCGCCCGCTCTGCCTCGCCCTTGAAAAAGTCCTGCAACCGCTGCTTCCACTTTGCCACGCTCTCACTGGCCAAGCCCACCCCGTCGTGCTTCATGCCCCTCCACTCCTTCACCGCCTGGCGCGCCGAACCGAAAACTCTGTTCGCCCCCTGGGCAGCCCTTTTCCCCAAAACCGGGCACGCCACGTTGAACGGGCGGGCGCGCCGAACAGAAAACTCTGTTCGCCCCCTGGGCCAGCCCTTTTCCCCAAAACCGGGGACGGCACGTTGAACGGGCGGATTTTCGCAATGTCTCAAGCAAACGGTACTTTTCAATAGGGCGCGGTGGGGCGCCCTTTTTGGGGAAAATGGATGCGAACAGCATTCTCTGTGGGCGCCTGGTTGGGCAACCAGAGGGCGACGCTCTGACCCCGGTGGTACATGGCGTACACTTTTGTCTCCACGGCAGGGCACCCCAAGCGAGCGCCATCCTCCGACATGCTGAACGTGCCCACGGCGTCCCCCAAGAGACGATGACTGCAGGCCATCGTGGACAAGCATTGCTTGTCCTGCCACTCTCGCAAGCGCCGCTCGTCGCAACCCTCGAGCTTGCAGGCGCCCAGCCCGGTCAACGCCTTCTCCTTCTGGACCACGCCCTGGGTCACTTCGGCCTTGAAGCCTTCATGCCAACGCCTCTTGCGACCGCCGGCGACGACTCGATCCTGCTTCAAAGGATTTGTGGAGCCCCGGTTGTCGTCCGAGCTGTGGATCATCCTGGCGAGCCTCGCGCAGAAATGGAGCACGACAGCCCTTGCAGCCGGACACTCGTAGATCTTTTGCAGCGTCGCGACGAAGAGCCACACGGGTCCGCGAAACGGCCTCCGGCCGTCGTCTGCGCCAAGGTCCTTGTCGATGGCGCGCATGTGCTGGCAGTAGCCTTCATGCACGACCAGGTTGCAAGCCCCGGCAGACTCCGAAAAGCACTCGTTCAAGGCGATCTTGAAATCGCGGAAGTGCACCACCTGTGCCAGCCAGGCTTCCATCGCGGCCCGAGCCTTCGCCCTCGTCTCCTCTGCCTTCGCCGCTGTAGCCTTCTGAGCCAAGATCAACACTAAAGCCTGGGATGTGCAGGTGAAGCTGAAGCGCGTGTGCCACGAGGACTCGTCAACGCCTGTCTTGCGAAGCTTCGCTTGTACCGCTTTCACGGGTGGGAATATGTGGTCGGACCACTGCAGGCCGAGAACATGGAACATCGCCCGCCAACTGCCTTCAGAGGCACTCACGTGCTTGTGCACGTCCACCGGGGTTTTCGCGCCACTGTGCACAGCCAGCAGTGGACCGAGTAGCTCCCAGTGGGTGTCGTCGTGCTCGTCGTCGTACCGCCACGCCACAACAAAATCAGCCTGAAAACTCTCGCCGTCGTCGAGGAAAGTGGTGGCGCGATTGTGGTACACAGGTTTTGCACTCATTGTTCGACGCCTTGAGCCTTGAGCCCGCGTGCTGCGGATGTGACGGGAGACAGGCGTGTCGGGGGAGCGGGTGAGGGCGGTCCTCCTCCTCCCCCTCCTCTCCTATGCATCCCTCCCCAGCTCCCCTCCCCCGACACGCGCTCGGATGGGCAAACGGAACCATAAGATTAGTATATGTCATAACATGCAGTAGTATGATGTTGTGTACATGTTCTGCGCCATCCCACTGACAGTGTCACGAAGGGCTTCAATCCACACAATCACAATTGGAACATTCTTGTGTAACTGATGTCCGGATCATTCCAATTGCATGTCCAAAAACAAATAACTCAGGATTCAAAGCCGACTGTAGCAATCAGCAAACAATATGTTGAGGCTCCTCTGGCTCGCCTGGATTGCACGCCCGCTCCCACGAGAACAGAGCACCTCCACCCAGCGCCAATACACTGGCGGCCCTTCAGCCGAGCCTCCGGATTGGGCCAATGAGCCTGCACGTTTACTTCTTGGTGCAAGCGGAGCTTCTGTACCTAAGAGGCAACCTCAAACCCATACTCCAGGAGCAACAGGGGTTGAGCCTGTCCTTCTTGGCCAGTCTTGGTGGCAACTTGGGCCGTTTGGGGGCCGTCTCGGGCGGTGCACGCGGTGCTTACCTAGTAACCAAGCTCAAACCCATACTCCAGGAGCAACAGGGGTTGAGCCTGAATGCTTACCTACTTGATGCACACGGGCCTCACTTACGACGCAAGCTCAAACCCATACTCCAGGAGCAACAGGGGTTCAGCCTGCACTATTACTATTTGGTGCAAACGGGGTCCCTGTACCTAAGAGCCAAGCTCAAACCCATACTCCAGGAGCAACAGGGGTTGAGCCTGAACGCTGACCACTTGATGCACACTGGCCTCACTTACGACGCAAACTCAAACCCACACTCCAGGAGCAACAGGGGTTGAGCCTGCACGTTTACTACTTGGTGCAAACGGAGCTGCTTTACCTAAGAGCCAAGCTCAAATCCATACTCCAGGAGCAACAGGGGTTGAGCCTGTCCCTCTTGGCCCGTCTTGGTGGCATCTTGGGCCGTCTGGAGGCCGTCTCAGATGGTGCACGCGGTGCTTCCCTAGTAGTCAAGCTCAAACCCATGCCCCAGGAGCAACAGGGGTTGAGCCTGAACCCTTACTACTTATGCACGCGGGCCTTACCTACGAAGCAAGCTCAAACCCATACTCCAGGAGCAACAGGGGTTGAGTCTGCACGTTTATAACTTTGTGCGAACAACACATGTTTCTAAAACACTACGTCACATCTAATATTACACGACGTCACATCTAATATTACACGCTCGGATGGGCAAACATAACCATAAGATTCGTATCTGTCAGAACATTCAGTAGTATGATATTGCGCGCATGTTATGGGCCATCCCACTGGCAGTGTCACAAAGGGCTGCAGTCCACACAATGACAATTGGAACATTCTGTCCGGATACTTCGACATGCAAGTCCATAAACAAATACATCAGGATTCACAGCCGACTGTACACTGTAGCACTCATGAAAGAATATGTTCAGGCTCCTCTGGCTCGCCTGGATTGCACGCCCGCGCGGAAGCAAAACTTTACAGGCGACGCCACCGACAAACTCCTCCTCCTCCTCCTCCTCCTCCTCCTCCTCCTCCTCCTCCTCCTCCTCCTCCTCCGCCTCCTCCTCCTCCTCCTCCTCCTCCTCCTCCTCCTCCTCAGGCCGCAGGGGCCGCTCCCGGGCCCCCGTAAAGTTTTTCGTCCGGCCGCGTGCGTTCCTGTGGGCGGGGGTGGAGGAAGAGGGAGGAATGACATGCACGTGTTGTCTGCCTTCCCTCTGTCTCGCTGTTCTGGCCCGGCGCAACGGCCACTGCCAGCCAAACGCTCGCAGAAACGCGCCACGGGGAAAAACAGCCTGCCACGGGGCCTCGCAGCCGCCCGGCGGGCGATGAACTCTCGAATCGGCCTCACAGGCGTCGGAAACAATTATCGAACACTCGTGCATCGGCTCAAAATCGGTCCCCGGGCCCCTCCTGGGGTCCACCCGACGCAATTTCTCACCCGGGGTCCGTTTTTCGGGGCGCCCGGGCCCTACACCGGCCCCCGGGCGCCGAAAACGACGAAAAACCGAGACTGAAAATTTCGAAAAGAGTGTTCGTTAATTATTTCCCTCTACCGCATCAGCGTCATCACGACGCGCCGAGACGCCGCTTCCGGCCGAAGGCGATCACTTTCAAGGGCCTGGGCGATGGCCCGAATGAGTCCTGTTTCCACGCGCACAGCTGCGGCAGAAGATCTTTCACGTCGAACGCTGGCATCCGAATCCGCCGCCCCGTCGTCGACCACAAGCGCCGCATGCGCCTGGCCACGAGCTGCAGACGCAACGTCGCCAACCCCTTGTTGCCCTTGCAGTCGCAACCGAGATGGCGAAGGCCCGAGAAGACGGCAGCACCCAGGCACTCGGTATCATACTCTGCTGATGAAGGTGGTTCCCCCACGAGCGAGTCCCAGAGGACGAGGGCGCACTTCTGCGTGTACCCATGCAGCGGCACGTACGGGAACACCATAGCTCGGACGAATGCCGCCCGGTCACCGCCAAGAGCATCGTGTGTGCACATGGAAACGATGCCTTTCATGATCCGGAGGAGCTTGCCGATCTTTTTGTTGGCCGCCTTCTCGGTGCTGCACTTCGTGAAATCTAGAATTTTGCATTGCCGAATGTACACGTTGAACAGCGGCGAGCCACTAGCCCATGCGCCCATCAGACGACTGCGCAGCGCGTGCCCGTATGCTGCAGTCCACGGCACCGGCACGATGTCCAGAAGCTCCAAGAACGCATAGGTCCAACCAAGAGCCACGCAGAAGGATGTTGCCATCACCATCATCTTGAACTGCATCGATCCTGCACGCACCCCCAACGCTCTCAATCGACGGCGAAAGTGGCCCAGCATGTCTTGAATGTCCGCTGGTTTGCAATCGAACACTTTGGCGAACGGCACGATGTCCATGGATGTCGTCGCACTGGCCTGGCACACGGCGATGTTTTCCTTCAGGTAATGAATGAAGGGCGGGGCGCTCCTCGAGAGCCGAGCATCGACACAAACGCAACACGTTGGTGACCCGCGCGGGTTTCTTTGGTCGGCGCTGGACCCCTTTGCCCGCGGCCCCGTAAGGGCCGCCAGAAGAGCCCAGCGCCTTTCCCAAAAAACCAAGCGGGCCTCCAACAGTTGATGTTCATATCGTGTTGTGTCTCTCGACTGCCTGTCGATCGTCCTCGCGAGGTTGCTGTCGTACTCCCCGGGCTCGGCATTCGCCTGCTGTCTCAGACAAGACTTGGTGCCACGATGGGCCTCGATGTGCCTGGCCCGGTCACTCTCGTATCCACACAAATCGCAAACGAATGCGCTCATCGCAATGCGCCGCCAGAAGAGGGACTGGTGTGTAGAGAGCCCGGCACACACCCCCTAAGCCAAAGTGGCTGCGGATGGTGCTGATGACAATGTGGATGATGATGACGATGATGACGATGATGATGATGATGATGATGATGATGATGATGATGATGGTGTGATGATGGTGGTGCTTGGGGGCTGTTCGGCATGCGAGACTGGAGCACGTACGCGCAATAATCCGTGCCATTGACATCCATGCCGCTTGCCTGGCGAACGGCGGGAATGCCTTCCAAGAAACACATTGTCTGGTCCCCGGGAGGCCGCCCAGACGATCCAAGACTGCCTCCCAGAAGCCCTTGAGAGGTCAACCACGAGATAACAACCAACATCCATGATGCCCCTGACCCACCAGCCACGCACGGTGGCGGGATGGGCCGAAAACCAGTAGATCCGCCGCCCCCTGTCGATTCATCGCAGGGGCGCCTGGCGTTCTGGACTTCTGAGGGTTTGGGTTTTGGTTCTTTTGGCAAAAGAACTCCCCCTGGGGCTTCGGCCCGTCCCGCTAGGGCGCCTGCCTCGTCGGCTTTCTCGGTCCAGATGGTCCAATATGGCCTCCCAGATGCCTCCAAGACGGCTAAGATGGCCTCCTCCCTCTCCTCCCTCCTCATCCCTCCTCCCTCCTCCCTCCTCATCCCTCCTCCTCCCCTTCCTCCTCCTCCCCCTCCTCCGCCTCGGCTTTCCTCGTCCTCCTGCCCCTCCTCATCCTCCTATTCCCTCCGCCTCCTCCTCCTCCTCCGGGGGAGGGTCACAGACACCGCAGGAGTCACGCCGCCCTGGGCAACGCTCGAGGGTGTCGGCCGTCGACGTCGTCGTTCGGTAGAGGTCAAGGGGCGTTGCCTGAGCCCTTTTTTTCAGCTGTTTGTTTTTGTTGGAGCCCGCGCCGTAGCCACGTGCAAGGCTCGCCACGCCGACGGGCCCCCAGAACGAGATCAAACACTCCTGTTGGGAACGACCTGCCACTCCCCCTGCCCACCTGCAAAGATGGACGCGCTACCCGCCACCAGAGCCGCGAGAAGTAGATGATTGGACGAATCGGCCCAACGACAGCATGAAGACCAACTGTCAATCCTAGATCGATCCATTTGGGGACATATTCATGTACACATATGGGGAGAACTCCATGGGAAGGTTGGTCCTATGATATAGGGTGGATAGTGAGAGTCGGGAGATGACGACACCGACTACGATTGCGATGTTCAGTACGATGACCGCGCGCGTCGCTCGCCTTCGCGCCCCCGCTGCGAGTCTGTGCGCCTTGGGACTGCACCCTAGCCAGCTAGAAGCCACGGCAGGATGTTCGACCCGCCCGAACCATTGAGATGCCAAGAGGGGCACCACCCGCAAGCATGCGAAGATGCACTGCGTAACCTGACCCTACTCGGGCCGCCTACGTCTCGTGGCCACCCCGCAGCCCATCAGAGGTCGTCCATGTCGACGAATGTCTCGAGAGCGGCCTCCAGGGATGCCGGCACGGGGGGCGTGAAGGTCGCTTCTCCCGCTGCGCCTGCAAGCGGCGCGCCGTCCACGGAGGTCGG